AGAGAGGCAGAGAGGCAGAGAGGCAGAGAGGCAGAGAGGCAGAGAGGGAGAGGGGAGAGGCAGAGGCAGAGGGATCATTTAGCTTAAAAATTTTAGGACAGCCTTGTAACATAGGGAGACCTAGTAAAATAGTCCTTTAAAACTAAAGTGTGACAAGGCAGCATCTGTGGCTCTGCCTGCCCTGCTAACAGAAAGGAATGTTATTTCCTTCATGTAAGCCAACATCATATTTATGTGCTGTTTCTTGAATATTTTACTACTTACTTAGAGGCTAAAATTATTTGGAGCACCAATTATGCCATACGTTCTCAAAGAAACTATATTGAATTTTGTGTGTAGATGATAACCTTAGAAAATGTAGAATTGGTTTAGAAGGATATGAGTTGTTTGAAGTTATATTCTTTTTTGTTTTTCTTTGGGGGGGCTGCTTTCACTTTCATGAGACAGGATTTCACTGTATAGACCAGGCTGGCCTCGAACTCAGAAATCGTCCTCCTGACTGTGGGATTAAAGTTGTGCAGTGGTACTACTACCTGGAATGATTTTATTTTGTAAAATTTTAGAATAGCCATTATCCTTCTCCAGGCTAATAATTACTCAATAATAAAAAGAAAACTTTTGATTACATAATTTCCAGAGTCTACTCCTATGTTCTAAGAAACCACTAGAAATTATTGTTGAGGTTATAACTATAAAAATAAGTTCAGTTTATAAAAATTGTGTTTTTAAGTTAGATATTTGAAAAATATAAGTGAAAAAAGTAATTTTCTAATAAATTAGTAAATCAAAAGAATTTATGGTAACAAATTTTATCAATCAATTACATTGTATCTCTAAGGTCCAAGAGAGATCTGCTCCTATTCCTTGCAACCGGAATCGTGCGCATCGTGTGAAATTTTCTCCAAGGTATGTGCTCATGTTTTCAAATTATTTGTGAGTAACCATGAGATTGAAAACAAACAAAATTTTGTTTCTTTGACATTAATTTCTGTGAAGTTTTGGCAAAATTGGCTTATATTTAAAAACCTAACTGCAGCGATCCAATAACAAGATCTTCCTGCAACAGTGCTCATATTTGGCCTGCGTGATTCAATTAGATAATTACCTAACAATTTTGACAATATAGTAATAGAAGTGATCACAATAACTTATTTGATGTTATGCATTTTGCAGTAGGGTTTAATACATGTCAGGTAAGTTTTCTCACATGGACAACATAATAAAAGAGAAATTATTCATAAATGCAGAAGCTAATGCCACAGGATGAGAAAGCCGAAAGTGTTCTGTGGTCACAATCAAATATATGAATCATTGTCCTATAAATAAGTTAACATGTAAATAAGATGACATATACAACATAAAAACTATTTGTTGTAGTTTTAATCTTTGTAACATTCCTGGATTCAGTGATATTTTTAAAGATGATGTTCCATAAGTCAGGTTTCTATTTGAAAGGCAATTTTTAAAATAGACCAAACTCACAGTGGAGAGAACTTTAGTCTATGTTCATTAGGTCAGTCATTGAGTAAATATTTATTGATCATTCTATATTAAGATATTAAGACAGGGTCAGTGAGGTGGATTAGCAGGTAAGAGCACATCATTTCAAGCCCAATATTGACCTTAGTTGAGTTCCCAACATGCACACAGTCAAAAGAACAAATCAATTTCCACAAATTGCCTCTATGACTTCCACGTGTGCAGTGCAATTTTTTTTCCTTCTAGTTTCATGTACACACACACACACACACACACACACACTGAAAACATACGTTTTAATCAGTGTTCCAAATAATTTTTACACTTAAGTAAATTAATTTGGACTTACTAATTATAAACTCATAGTATAGTAAAATATTCATGTAAAAAGTAATATGAATGAACTAAAAATCAAAAGTAAAGATACTGTCCACTAAGTGCAGATGTAAATACTGTAAAGTATGGACAGATGATTGAGAGTGCATATATAACAAGCATAGCCCTATGACATAAGATTTTAAATCTTGTGACTTTATATCTTCAAGTAACACCTGTGAGAGAAATGGTTTTTTCTTTCCTTGGGTTTGGTTTGAGTTTTTTTCACAGATGGCTTTAAGAGATGAAGATAAAACTTGCCAATATGCTACCTTCCTTAAACCTTTGGTCTCTTGTCATTTTAGTGTCGGTGAGGAGCCTCCTTTGGAAGAAGCTCGGCAGCCCATGGACATCAGACCAAGGAATTGCCTAAATCCTCAGAATTTTCACTTGGAATCAGGTGATTCGAAACTGAAAGTTTCAATGTAGGCCTAATATTAACAGCTTATATTTCAGAACTATAGAAGCATTTCAAGAAGGAATGCATGAAAATGTTAGGTAGGCCAAGTAGTATTAAGACAAGATACTGATTAGGTATTTGAGTGAGCAGTGGTGACCTCTGAGAAATGAAATCTAATATGAGATAATACATGAAACCTTGAGAGACTATTCTTCAACTAGCCAAAGTGTATTAGGCTACTTTTACAACCTTAAGCCAAATAATTGTGAGGATAACTTTTCCTTTTCATTTGATTTGAACTCTTGAAAATATGACATGTTCAACATTAGGTATTTATGAAATATTACAAACTTATGGCTTTATTCAAAATACATGGAAAATTAATTGATCATGTAATACTAAGATAGCTTCTAAAATTGTAGTGTCATTTTAAATCAAACAGTGGTGTTCATTTCAGAGACTTTAAAACTATTACACATTTGTAAACACTATGAAAAATCCAAAAACTGTGTAGTGGGTCATAAAATCTGGCATTTTCCATTTTTAAATATCCAAGATATATTTAACTAAAGAATATTTCCTTATCAAGCCCTCACATTATTTATAAAATTTAGCATACAGGTTCTTGTTGAATGTTTATATTATAAGGGATATAGAAGACCAAATATTCAAATATCTGCATTTTAAAACCTTAGTCCATCTTAGGAGAGTAATATAATGAAACAATTGTTTTCTTGTGTATTTTCACATAGAAATCCTTTTGAAAAGATCAGGCCAAATTTAGGAATGTTTTCCTTCTGTTTTGGTCAGCTATAAACTTGCTAATCCATGGCAAACACGTAAATGTTATGGTCTATTCACTTGCCTTTTTGAAATAAAATCATCAACACTGATAGGAGAAGGAAGCTGTACTATCTCTGCAAATAATAGCCAAACCTTTTAGGTCTGAGACTCTGCTGTGTGTATGACACAGGCCATGTGAGATTCCCAGCAGGTTTGAATCATCTCACTGTAGATATGCCAGAAAAATCACTGGACACTCAACCTTTATCATTGATCTACTTTCACTCGAAAGGACTTGGATGTATTACTTCCTGAATAAATAATAAATAGCAAGGTTACAACAGTTCTGGAGGGCAAGAATACACATTCTCTGATATAGAATATAACATTCTCAAAAGACAACAGTATTTACAAATGCAAAGGGTTTTACTTGTAATGTCTAGACTTTGGCTATGTATAGTAAGTTTAAACCTTAATATCCCTAGGAATAAGCATTCCTTTGGGAAGCACTCTTATAATAAATATGTTCACTTAGACCTCACTAATATCTGAGCCTATTAAATACTTGTGCTGAACTTTTAAAACAACTTATTATTTACTACAGCATAGTTTTCAAAACCTATAATGATCAAGTAAAAGAATTTGTATTTTAAATAGAAATCTCATCATAATGGAATTATGCTGTCCAATGTGAAAGTAAACAGCCACGTCATATGTGATTATTAAAGTGAAAACTAAAAAAAATTAAATAAATAATAAATGTTTTACCCGTCCATGTTGTAGGCGTACTAGCCGCATTTTAAATGCTCAGTAGCTTCCCTGGTTAATATTCAGTACTCCAAAATATTCATTGGCCATGTAGGATAGAGCAGATACAGAATATTTCTATTGCTTCAGAAAGTTATTTCACAAATCATTACTATAAAGTTTCCAGTTTCATGAAACAAAATTAAATTAAATTTTGTAATTTTAATTAGTTCAGCTTTCATTTTTATTGAACTATTTGGAAATATAGTAACTGGGTTAAAACTGAGGAGGTTTAATATTGCAGTACACATTCAAGAGTTTTTCATCTTTAAATTACATCTTGGACCTCTTTCCTACTGGTTAGTATGTGTGAACACTGGCACTTTCAGCCTTTCCTCTTCTTAATCTTTGATTTCTAATGGATCTACATACTTACTAGCCTTACTGTCTACCCTCTTACACAGATTCTAATGGATCTACAGGCTCACTAGCTATACTGTCTACCTCCTGAGTGTATACTAGATATTGAAGACAAAAATGCCTTGTAGGTCTACAACATAAACAAAACTTGAGCCTGCTACTGCCTTTGAAAACAGAACTCAGGATCGCGGGCACATGAGATTTTAAATATAAAGTGATATTTTTGTAATTGAATTACAAAGGATGAAAGAAAAACATTGAACTATTGAATTTTGATCCACTACACAAATGGAAGCAATTGTGAAATATCTGTTGTTACTAATGTACTTTTGGTATTCCATAGAATCATCTTCTGAGGAGGAGAGTCCTGTGACTAGGAGGAAGTCCCAGTCATCGCCACCTTATTCTACTATTGATCAGAAGTTACTGATTGATATCCATGTAAGTTTATATTATGATACACTTATATCTATTTTTAACATCAGTTTGATTTGACTTATTCTTTCGGACCTTCCAACCTTGAGGTTAGGGACTGGACAGATGGCTCAGCACTGGTTTCTCTTTCGGTGACAAGGGTTTGTTTTCTAGAATGTGTCTGATGACTCACAGTCATCTGTAACTCCAGTTCCAGGAGACTTAACACCCTACTCTGGCTTTTCTGCATATGTCTGGCATACTCAAGATACACATATATACATAGAGGCAAACATTCATACACATAAGGAGTTAAGAGTTTAAGTGTGTTGCATTGGTCTTTATAAAAAGATCATATTGTTGGGCAATATTCAGGATACAAAATGTACAAGTTAAAATTGAAATGAGGAAAGAGCAAACAATATTGTATTCTAACTTTTTATCAAAGTGTGTTGATGAGAAGTACTGAAGATATAGCTTGGTGACAGAGTGCTTGCCTAGTTACCCAGGGCTCTAGGTTCAATACCAATACCACACAAAATAGAAATAGAATATAGAGTAAAGAACATTGACAAACGGATACATCCAGGCTAATCTATGACCAAGAGGTATAAGTCATATTTTCCACTTTTGCTTAATAGTATTTCTTAGATAATGAGACAAATAAGATATTAGTAAACAATATATTGTCTTCTGATTGTATAAGTAAAAGCTCTCCCTAAACATTTTCAATGTGCTTTCAGATCACATTATTTAATTTTCATAATACCCCTATTCTATCATACATATGTTTATACCTACCATCAGAATTGCATTTGTATTTGCTTTCTTTTTGGAGGCATTTGAAATAATTTAAGATAATGTATAGCTTATGCAGGCAAAACTGGGAAAACAACCTATGTATTTCAAGAGCTATTCCCTAATCTCAGTGTTAGCATAAAACAAAAGCAAATAACTGAGTTTGTCTAGACCATACTGCTTGGCATCAGGCAAATGTCTACTCCTCAGCAGACAAGTAGAGTTAATAAAACAGTGAGTAAGTTTTACCATGTGATCTACAAAGTCCACTAATAACTACTATGTTTGGGTTTGAGTAACTCATTTCACTAAAATATTTTCTCTATGTAGTGGGTTGGACATCTGTTTTGGTAAATAATATAATGCTAACATATTTTAAAATGTCATTTTGGAAAGTTCTTCTATCTAAATAAAGAAAAAAAATGAGAAGCTATTAAAGACTACCTTAACCTTTCTTGTGCACACAGGTTCCAGATGGATTTAAAGTGGGAAAGATATCACCCCCTGTGTACTTGACAAATGAATGGGTAGGCTATAATGCACTCTCTGGAATCTTCTGGGATGATTGGGTACTCCCTACACGTTCAGCTGCTCAGCCACCTGTAGAAGATGGTGATTATGTTGAACTCTATGATGCTGACGCTAATGATGAAGCTTCAAACAATGGTTATGAAGATTCCAATGAAGGTGCCAATGGCCATGATGACTTGAATCACCGGGTTGATCAGGCATATGGCTATGAAGGCCATGGTGCTGCTAACTACAATGGTTATAGTCATGGTGCTGCTGGCAATGGGCCAAGGTTGGTTCATCTCTCTTATTATACCGTAGATGGTTATAAATTCAGAACTATTGGCATATTTGGTTTGTTTCAACATGTAGCATAACATTTGAGAATTAATTAATTGTACTTGCATAGTGGTAAATGTTCCATATTGCAATTTAAAATTTTCTAAGTTAGAACACTTAGTTCTGAATTTAATATTTAAAATGTATATACAATTTAAATTCAGTTATTTATTAGCTTTTCGATAACAGAGACTATATGAGGTTTCTTTTAAAATTAATGCAACTAAATCCCCTTTCCCTATATAATCACAATGAGAAATGACATAAAAAATGAAGTATTCTTCTAGTATTTATAAGCATATTTAAGCATTTCTCAGAGAGTTGAGATTTTGACATGTATATAATCAACTTAATATCATCTTTATTCCTTTAATTGGTGGAGAAGTTACAAAAAGATCTTTCAGATTTTTCCCAAAATAAATAATCTATAAAAAGTTCCATTCTCACCCAGTTTTTCTTTTATGATCACAATAGGGACATATATTTAATATTGTATTCCATGCAAAGAAAGGCACTGTTATTTTATAAACAGTATCTATAAGCACTGATTATGTGATTCTCTTACTCATCCTCTAACATTTGAAGCCTATATTACATGAACTTTCTGGTGAGAGTAGTTGACCAAGGTGTCTATAGCAGACCTGTTGGCATATGTATAAATGAGTGAAAGCATATGTTCAAATTAGCATAATATAAAATATCTAATATTACTATGGGGTTGATCATTAAATGTGACTGAAATTTATTAATAAATTATCTAACTATTTAAGAAAAATTAGTATTTTTCTTAAATACTGTAACTGTTCAGTTATGTGTACCTAACAACAAAATAATGGAGCTCTTTTTCCCTGTCTCCACAATGATAACACAGACTTAACAGTGTTAATTCAGTATTTAGTATAGGCAAAGCAGTGGGGAATTTTTCATGTCTATATAACATCAAAAGCATTCACAAAAAGCAAAAACATTCCTGAACATTGTGTGTGTGTGTGTGTGTGTGTGTGTGTGTGTGTGTGTGTGTGAAAAATCTTCTCTTTTTCTTTTCTTTTGTGGCTTTGTGTTTGTATTGAATGGCCTTCTTCCATTAATTTCTCCTTATCAGGGCAAATTATCGCAGAGGTGGAATCTTGAAGAACGCTGGTAATGATAGACATGATCTAAATCGGGGAGCTTTCAGAGCCTATGGAGACAATGAAGCCGGAAATTACCGTGGAGCTGCTGGTGGAGCAAGTGCTGCTTTTGGAAACCTGGAAGGACATGAAGCCAATAGACGCAGTCGAAGGGGTAACAGATACAGGGGAGCCAATGGAGGCAACGAAGAGAATGGAGCATGTGGAGTGGATCATGTATTCCCAGATTTTGAACGTGAACAAGAGGTAAGGAATATATAATAATATATAATTTAATATATATATATACTTCTCATATAAATGTATGTCAACACGTGATATGTAACATTACAGCTATTTAACATTGATTATACCCATTTTTCTCAAATCCTGAAATTATTTAAATTGTAAGTGCATAGGATATTTACTACATACAACTTGATGGTTCCTATATACTCCCAAGGGAAAGAACCTCATTTATTTTGTCATTTTATGTCAGATTATACACTTCGGATAGTATTTCAAGGAACTGGCATGATTCTTTATAGCTGTAGAATACAAATACTGGAATTTTCCATGTTAAGTCAGTAATTTGCTAGCGTTTTGGACATGTACAATATTGTGCAACCATTAGCATTACGCATTCATATAGCACATTTATGGAGGGATAGATTTCATTATGGCATTTACACACATCCTTTGTCTTTGTTGGTCTTCCTCTTCTTTCGCTCCCTCTGCCCCTCAATTGTATCCTATTTGCCTCTGTTTAACTCTCAAGTCATATGTATTCTCTTGACCTGTTTTCCCCATTACTCTTCTGTAAAATCTTTCTCCCTCTCATTCATAATCACTTCTAGTTCTATACTATACACATAACATATATGTATATATTTGTATATGTATAAATTAAAATCTAGGACCTGGTGTATGTATCATAAAGAATGGAAAATGTGCTTCCAAGTCGAATTGTATCCAATAATAATTTCTTTACACATGCAATAAATTGAAATTTTCATCATTTCATTTTTCTTTGTGGCTGAATAAAATTCTATTGTGTACATGTACACATTTTTGTTTTCTACTTCTGCTGCTAGACATCTAGGCCAGTGCATTTTTATCTTCTCAAATAATTAACTCCCACTCTTCCCCTGACATTCCGTTCCCTCAACAGAGAGTTGATAAATTTTCCACAGATATAATATAGTATTGCTACATTTATCCTTAAGTGTCTACTCCTTAATGGAAGCATGCAAGACTTATAGTGAAATATGCTTACTCTAAGATTTTTATAATTTGGGTTTTTGTTTCTTTGTTTTCCATCTTTTGTTTGATCACTTGACCTCACACCTCCAGAGTTTCTTCTTACTATCAGTTTTCCTAAGTCTTGTATTTTTGGTGTGTTTTGCTCTCCTGTGTTTGTTTTGTTACAGTTTTAGGATCAGGGTCTATCTCTGTAGGCCAACCTTAGCTTGGAACCTATGTAGCTCAGGCTGGCCTAAGACTCATGACAACAGCTTTCCATGTGCCAGCATTATATTCTCATTCCTGTGCCATGAGACCCAGCTCTGTAGATATCTTAAACTAACAGATGCAATATCCTCATGTTGTGCTTTTTTTTTCCAAAATAACTATTTGACACATATACTTTGGGGTCAGATTCCTTTCAAGCCTTACTTAGTTAGATCCTCTACTCACCAGCTCTCTGATCCAGACAACTTTTGATTTCTTTAAGTTCTGATTTCCTTATAACTGAATCAGAGACAATGACACTTACTTCATTGTGTTATGGTAACTGTTCATAGAGATGCATAATTAAGGTTACCAGCGCAGTACCTGATCTACTTCTATAAAAATTACATCAGAAATTGAACATTTGGCAATTTAATGCTCCCTCTATTTCTCCCTTCAAATTACCTCAATAATAAACTTACTTCTCAGATGATACTACTGAATATTTTTAGTAGATATGGACTTGTAAGGATGTATATATTACAGATTTTGCATTTAAATTTTCAAGACACCTATAGCATTTTTTCCAAATATATTAAAAGTTGGGTCTTTGGTCTCCTTTTAGGAATCAGATCGTGGAACTGAGACCTCAGATTCAATTGCCTTGGAGATCGCATCCCTTGATGGTGAGCAAAACAGTGGGATACCAGCATCATCAGCAAGAACAGGTTTTCCTATGGGAGGCGCATCTTCCAGAGGCTCTGATCCTGACATTGGAAGTGACATCTGTGAGTACTTCTGGTGTGATCTTTCAATGCCGAATGCTTCTACTTGTTTACACAATAATTCATGATACATGACATAGCAAAGAGATTGAATACTCACTTGGTATAAATCGAGATTTATGCATGCTTTAAAAAAATGATTCCTCAGAAGGTAAAGACATTTGCCACCAAGTCTAACAAGTTAAGTTTAACCTCCTTAGCACACATGGTAGAAGAAGAGAACCAACCTAACATATGTGCCTAAGTAAGTGAATTAAACATACATATACATTTGCATACACACACACACACACACACACACACACACACACACACACACATACACACATATATCTTTTTCCTTCGATTTTTGGGAGTCTTGTGTAACCCGGATGGCATTGAGCTCATTCTTAAACAGTGATTGGCACTGACTTCCTCATCTCCCTGGGATCATAGACCCTTGCTATCATACCCACCTGTCACTCAATCTTTGTAGGGACTAGATTTGATCTGTAATCGAGAAATTTAGTCCTTCACTCAATTCTCCATTTTGCACTACTATAAAAGCCACAAATCGCATTCATACTCAGCAATGTATTTTAACTACTATAATTTGTATTTTCCAATGCGTTAAGAATTTACAAAAACTCATATAAAAGATGAAATGCAATAAGGAAACCAAACTTTGAGGGATATGTACATGATGGAAATACTTGGCACATTTAGTATATAGACCAGTGATTTGTCTCAATACCTCCCCCCTTTACAGTATATGTAGGATTTCTTGAGATGCCTGAAAAAGCACCTGAGCTACCATCTGAAGTCAATGTTAACACACTCTCTGTTTTTCCAGCATATGAAAGACCACTAATACATGTGTATGAAAAGGAATTCTCATCTGAGGTCTACTGTGGTTCTTTGTGGGGTGAGTTTGATTTCTTGAACTGAGGGGTTAATTAATTTATTTATGTATTCACTTTACACCCCAATATCAGCCCCCTTCTCCCAGTGCTCCCTCATGCAAGTCTTCCATGGGTTCTAACTTCACCGTATGGGTGTCATCGTCCCCCCCCCCAACACTACACATAAATATTGCTGCAGGACTAAGCACATCCTTTCCCACTGAAGCCAAACAAGGCAATCTGATTAGGGGAGTGGGATCCCCAGGCAGGCCACATGCTCAAGGACAGATTATTTTTTAAATCCATATTTGTGTAGAAAACTTTCAAAACCTGTGGAAATAAAACTTTTCACCATTGCCGATATGTTAAAAGTGAATTTATGGTAATTAGTTTAGGGTTGATTCGGCTTGTTGTATTAATGTCTTCCACTTTTATGCTTTTTTTAGCTTGTATTAACAGGAGTGAAATACAAACTTATACTTCATTCTAATTATTTGAAAATTTGAGTTTAATTTTTTTCTAACTTAACATATACTTATTACAAGAAAGGTTTCTATGGGTGTTACAATTTTAAAGTCTGGAGAATGCATAATTCTCTATAAATTCTTAAATTTAACAAGGTTTTTCAACTGTTTGTTTTAGAAAAATTATGACCTTATCAGTAGGGCTGAGATTATAAGGGGACATGTTTTTAAAATGAAAAATAGAAACCAGCAAATTTAATTCTATGGTCAACGCCCTCAGAAGAAAATAGTCGCATCCTCAATGTTTTGCTACTTTAGTGGCTCAGGCAATATTGCATGTGCCACTTCAGTCTGGCAAGTACCCAGAAATGTAATTCATGTCTAGAAAATAAACTGAAATTAACTGTATATGTATAGACTAAATTTGCTTAAAGGTAACTTTCAGAAGGGCTGATTGGTTCTAGAAATGTTTGTGACAATTAAAAAATAGTGCATAATAAAAATAATACAATATTATGTATGTCAGATGGCACATTAGATGGCAGGAAAATAGAATATTTGTGTGTATAGACATCTATTTACACATTTTAGGGGACACTGATAGCCATGTACATAGTTGAATAATATGAGATTAATAAGGCCTGAGATAGTATGAGATAAACATTTGCCTGAAATGAAAAAAACCCATCTTTATACAGATTAGCAAGGTGAAATTACAAAAGTAATTATTTATTTATATATATATATATAGTTAGTTAGTTAGTTAGTTAAAAAATCAGTAAAGGGTGAAGAAATATGGAATGCATGTGTACACAGTAGAGTATTATTCAGCTTTGAAAAGGAATAGAATCACATGTGTAGTAAAATAAATTATAACTGATTATTGAAATAGAATTTTTTCTTTAAGGTCCTACAGGTATAATGGAGACTATTAGGGAAATAGAAGAGGACCAGAGGTAGTGAGAAGAAAAAATAAGTTGGGGGACGGGGGTAATGAGAGTGATTTTGATTAAATTTTGTGAGAGATAAGTATAAAAACATCATAGTAAAACTCCTTTCTGTAGAATTAATACACGCTAATAAAAACAATCAGCTAATGCAGCACTTTTCCTTGTCTGTATCTGAACAGGAGTCAATTTGTTGCTGGGCACCGCATCTCATCTGTATCTGATGGACCGAAGTGGAAAGGCAGACATCATTAAACTTATAAAGCGAAGACCATTCCGCCAGATTCAAGTCGTGGAGTCACTCAATTTGCTGATTACCATCTCTGGTTTGTTTAAGACCTAAAATTAACTGAGTAATTATGTGGAGTAATTGAACTGCAAACTAGGTTAAAAGGCTTTCTTAGGTGAAAGTGTTCATAGGAAAACACTTTAAATATAACCTTTAATTGGGGCAGCAGAAACTCCTACCTGTGTTTTCTTTTCCATTTGAACTTTAAACAAAATCTCTTTGATCTTGATTCACATAACCTAGGTTGGAGATCAGGAAAACTACTCTTGCATCCTTGAAAGCTCCTTTCAGAGTTGTCTCTAAAACTTCAGAGCTGTAATCACATGCACAAGGGACTATACCAATATCCAGCATCTAGCTTTTGATGAGTCTGAAACAACAATGAACCAAATGGATGACTATTTAGATAAAAGAGACAATTGTACCTGTCTCCACCTTATTACAAAGGCATATAGACAAGGTTAGGTACAAGAATAGATGCCCTAAAAAAACCTACACCTTTCCCAAACAGTAGTGGATTTTCATAATCTTGATCAGTAGGAGCCTGAAACTTTGACAATGAAAATGTAAATAGGTCAGTGTTAAATTGTGACTACTAAATGAATGGAAAAAGATAAGTAAAGGAGGACATGACTGTTCCTAACTATGGTAGAGGAGACTTATTGTAGATACAAGAGAGAACATAGCCAGGGGCATAGATCAAGGCATCTGGGAAAGTCTAATGTGAACATGACCAGCAGACTGAGTCGGGCCATATGAGGAGAGGGGAGAGGGAAACCTTCAGTGGGAACCAAGAGGTCAAGAGACCAAAAAGCAAAAGATAAAAGGACCAATGTAGCCAAAATGGCTGGGTTATATATGGAAGAGCAGCTGGGGGAAGGAGAGGCCAGCCTCTGAGCTTCAGAGTTCAGAGCAGTAGGCAGAAAATGCTCCCCAGGAGGACACAGAGGAATGCTGGAACAACCAGGCAGTCAGTGTCTGCTTTGATATGTTAATAAGTACCTTAGTTAAGCTTTTGTCCTGCCTTTGAGACCTAACACTAATCAGAATTTAGTATCTGAAAATCAAAGACAAATAAAGAATAAATAAGAATGGTTAACATAAGGTTAGGCCACCAAATAAAACCATACCAACCACTGATATTTGAGTTTTCTACTTCATAACATGTAAGATATATGTGGAAGATATATTAGTGTGCAAATTGTCATATTTGGATGGAACATTCTGCTTCAAAGTTTGATGAGAGGCAAAAATCCATTAGAAGTAAACTCAGACTTCATAGTATTTTAGTCATATTTCATGACCTAACATTTGTAATCGCTTTAGGTACACAGAAGCAACATTTGGTTTAGAAACATCAGATATCTAAGAGATGATACACATCTGAATGAGAGAGAGTTTTCATCTTGTTTTCTCAAAACACAGATAAACCTTTTTACAGTCCTTAAATGTAAGCCAAATGTGATTTGGTTTTTGTTTAATCTGGGGTTTAAAACTAAGGCTCTCTAAATGGTAGACAAGAACCCCTCATACGACAAAGTAATTTGTGTCAAATACTATAAAAGTATCATCATTAGATGAGAAACTTCTAAGGCTACTCTGGAAAAAAATCTTTCCAGGATGCAATGTGAAGTTATTCAGTAGTTTATTTTACCAGTTAAGTATCAAGTAATGATAAATGTAATTTTTGGAACCCTAAGACTTCTTTAAAAATTCCCTACTAAAACACAGTAAAATCAATCATACTAAGAATTTTACTTTGTAGACTGAGTGTGGTGGCACACACTTTTAGTGTTAGCACTCAGGAGGCAGAGGAAGGTGAATCTGTGTGTTTGAGGCAAGCATGGTCTCAAAAAAAAAAAAAGGATCCTTATTATTGGGACTTTTATAACAATCTTAAAAATGGCTTAGAAAAATTAATAAATTCAATAAAAAAGTATAAAAGCTTGTTAGATTTAATTAAAATTAATGACAATGTCACTCATGAGTAGGATATAAAAATTTCTCAATAGGTTATATTTATACATTTAGGAATAGCCATGTATATACATATCTGTATATAGCAACAATTAATGACAAATAGCTCATGGCTGTGAAAGAAAAGTGTTATAAGGGAAGGCTTGGAGGGAGAGACTGGAAGAAGGAAATGACGTAATTACATTATAATCTCAAAAAGTAAAAGAAATAATTAAAATACTGTCTCAAAGAAACTGAGACTAGACTGATGGTTGCCCACGGCTGGATTAATGGAAAAGGGGAGGAAAGAGGTGATGCAGAATGACGGATACATAATAGGTAAAGGTTAAATCAGTACGTTTTGTTGTTCTATGGCACAATAGGTAAATGTAATAAGAATAGGGCATTCTATATTTCAAAATAGTCAGAAGATAGGAATTTAAATGTGCTCATAAAATACCATAAATAAAATTTTAAAATTAAGGTAATGAATATGCGCATTTCCTGATGTTTACATGAATTAAAATACTGCATCATAAATATATAAAGAAGAAGCTTTATAATAATAGTAGTTGTTGGGTTTGCTTCCTAAAGGTAGTCTTAATAATGTATCCCAGTGGATTATTTTAGATCCACGACAGACAGGCACAGAGGTGGCCAGTAGAACCCGACTGGTTCATGGAATTGAGACAGAAGAGTCTAGTAATGCATCTGTTTTTAAAAGTGACTCTTTGATGAGCATTTTGCACAAAGAGCAGTGCACCCTACTGCTTTGCATTTCTAGAAAATAGAAGAATTGAAATGCCATCATGTTTTCCTACCAGGCCGCAAGAACAGACTTCGTGCGTATCATCTGACTTGGCTGAGGAACAAGATTCTGAATAATGATCCAGAAAGTAAGAAAAGGCAGAAGGCAATGCTGAAGACAGAAGAAACTTACAAAGCTATGGATAAGTTGATTGGCTGTGAACACTTCAGTGTCCGTACGTCCATTTCACATTTAATATTGCTGTATAGTTTCTGCTTTCCTTCATGTGGAGAGGTTCATAATTGCAAAAGACAAGATGAGGAAAGGAAAGAATTCACAGAGTGATTGTCATGGAGGCATCTCCCAGGCCTTTTCTAGATAATCATACCTATTGGCTGAAATTGCTCTGGGAGTTAGATTTAGTTGACTTTTTTCTTCCTTTACTAGTCACTCTTACTATTTGAAGTAATAGTTTCCACACTATAAATGTTCTTGACGTATCTTCAGCAACTTGCAGAGTTGTGTATGAATAGCAATTAACTATGAACCTGTTCAACACTGACTGGGAAATTTTATGGTAAATATCAAAAGGAGGATTTCTGTGATCTGTTGACTCTTGCTCCTAATATTTTACATTTCAGTATAGAATGTTTTCATATCCTGTGTCTCTCCATGAATGGCTCTGTAAACACAGTAATAATTCCCTTTGGCCTCTGAATTCTGTTATCTATGAAGTAATGCTGCACCATTCTCTTCCATTCTGAATCGAATCCACTCTACTCTCAGCTTCCTTTTACTCTGAAACAATTGACCCTTCAGGCAGAATTGGTACTGTAGGTGAAGGACTGCTGAAATCACATTATAGGAATTGCAAGAGAATATTTCTATCATAAATGACAGTTTTTGTGTCTTCTTTTATTTTTATTTTGTCCCCTTTTTTGTGATACTGAGAACGGAACTTCTAGTTCCTTGTTGATACAAGGCTATCATTTTATCACTGGGCTATATTTCCAACCACTGTTGTGTTTTGAGACAGGGTCTCACAAAGTTGGACAGATGTGCCTTGTTCTGGCAGTCTTAAGTCTTTCCTAAGACTTCCAATATGTGAGTGTACAAGTGGATACGACCAGGGCCAGTTTCACTTTCTTATGCCCTGACATGCACAAAAGTTTTAAATTTTGATGAAGTTTAATTTATTTTTTCTTGTATCGCTTATACATAAATTTTGTCAAATGTAAGAATCCATTGCCATATAGAAAGTTAAGATTTATCCCTGTTTTGTTTACTGCTAATACTTTTACAGCATAAGCTCTGACACTTGGGTCTTTGATTCATATTGGCTTAATTTCTGTGTATGCTGTGAGGTAGTTTTCTCCTCAAGTCTTTTGCATACACTTTACCATATGTCTCAGCACCATGTGTTTAACTCAGTATGGTTATATTCCTTTTGTTTTTGTTTTTTTCTTTATTGAATGGTCTTGGAGCTATTGATCTCATATGTGCAGAGTTTATTTTCTGAATGTCAAACGTATTCAGTTTATCTGTATTCCTATTATTTAAAAAATATTTGATTTGTATGACTAGTCTGGGAATCATGTGGCTTTTGCTCTTAATTTTTGTGCTATTTGTTTGTGATAATAAATAACTACCTGACTGTTCTTGTTAATTCAGAGAAATAACTTTTTTTGTATGTTGCCATTATAGTTCACCATGAAGAAACAACATACATTGCAGTTGCTGTGAAATCATCAATTCACCTCTATGCATGGGCACCAAAATCCTTTGATGCACGCACCGCCATTAAAGTAAGTGGCCATCTTATTCGCATCATGCTATTTTTCTCTTAAGAAGACATTATAAACAAAATAGTAGTTTGGAATATAAATGTGGAAATATACCATTTGGCTACATTTATTGCAACTTGAATATACCATGTCAATAATTATCATTTAACCCTTTTTTAGACAATCCACAGGCACCACAGCAAGGGAGTTTGAGGGAATTCCCCAGCCCTTCCCCTTACAGGACATTCCCACCAGCTCCTCACTCCCATTTCCTGTAGTCAACATGAAGATCTTCTCTTCTAGAGGCCCAAACACAGGCTTCAGGTGCTACCCCAATGACTTGCAGTGGGGAAAGTCCCTGTTCTCTCCTAGTGGGGGGTGGAGAGCAGAGGGAGAAGAGATGCAGCAATACTAAGGAGGCCACATCAGAAGTGGAGAAGACAAGAACTTCGTTCCAACTATCATTACAACAGTAGATGGGTGGGGGAAGGAAATGGGGGTTTATATTTCTTCCAGTATAAAACACAGTTCTCTGTAGAACTATTCTGGGTCATAGTGGGTAGGCTCACCTGTGTTCTTGACATCTTTTGATGAAACTGCACTTAGATGGATCAGCTATGGAAACTAACCATCTAGTAGCACAAACATACAGCTGCTGATTTTGTTCACTTCCCATAAACTGAGGATTGTGGATAAATTACATATAATGCTCCAATTTTCTATTTAAATAAGATAGATTTTTAGAAAACCCAAATAGCTTTTTAATCTTGCCTATTGCAGGCGTCAGAATCAGTGGGACCATTTTGTTAAATGTTTAGATCTCAGACCCAACCCCAGGCTGAGTTTGTGGGTCTGCAGTGGGGCCTGAGAATCTGCTTTTAACAAATGGTCTCAATGATACTGAACTACTTGCTCAACATACAAATTTCACAGAGCAGTAATAGGAGCATATCCTGATCAACGTATTCATGAAATCCATTTGTATGTTACATCAGGATCTGCTTTAATTTTTGAGCCTGAACATTGCATGTATACATTGATCATGGTACAATGCATATGACTACTCCTAGTAAAGATACTAGACTATTAGGTAGGCAGTCTACCATGGCAGATATAGCATCCCTTATCTGGTCTACCTAAATTGGGTCTTGGCTCAGCTGTCATCATTTGGATATGGATTAATTCTTGGGTGTCTGCTGACTTGTCAGCGCTACCTAGTATGGAACTGGAAAACAAAGAGAGAAGTATCACCAGTACATTTAGCCTGTTTTGTCCAAGTCCTCACTCTATCCTTAATGCCCACCTTCGACCCTGTTATTGTGAATCCTATGATGCTCAGTCCTTTCCATCATCTGATCTCAGCAATGAATCCTGTTTGGCCTTTTGTTTCCTTGGACTATCAACATTAGGAGTCTTAGAGTATAGTCTGTCTACCATAGGTTAATGTATATGGCCTTTTTCATTCCTTACCAAGTATGCATTGATCAATCAGCAGACTCCGAAGGAGACTACATGTCCTATGAAGCCTATATACGAATATTGGCAAAAATACAGGCAGCTGATCCAGCGAACCGGTTTAAGAGACCAGATGAGCTCCTTCATTTGCTGAAGCTCAAGGCAAGAATTTAAGGACAGCTAACGAGAGGCCATATGTGGTTCTGAGGGTCATAACAATTTGATCATTGTTGGTTGTGTGGAAGCTCTAGGTTCAATCCCTAGTATCATAAACATTCAATCAATCATAAAGAAGTCATCTGACTTTTATAAACTTGTAATTATGGCAAAAGAAAGGGAAAGATTACCTTAGTCAGAATGTCATTTTGGCCTTTGGGCCATATTTGCTTTTCCGTTTTCAGGTGTTTCCAACTCATGATGTTAAGCCAGTGACAGTTGACCTGGCTATTGGTTCTGAGAAAACACTGAAGATTTTCTTCAGCTCAGCTAATGGATATCATATCATCGATGCAGAATCTGAAGTTATGTCTGATGTGACCTTGCCAAATAATGTAAGATACTACCTTCAGATCTCTAGAAGTTATTATAAAACACTTTAAATTTTTCTGATTATCAAAATTCTCAAAATTTAAAGGTACAACTTACACTGCAGCAGAGATCTAACAGGTAACTTGCGTATGTCAGAAAGTATTGGCACCTAAGGAAAAACCACTAGTTATTTCGTACTTCAGATATATAAATGTGGTCTGTAGACAAATTTTCATTTGGCCATAATGATTTTATAACCTTTAAAAGCCAGACTTCTATTGATTAACCAGATATGATAATTTCAGGCCCGTACTACCATCTGGCCACTATCAACTGGAACTAATTGAGGTCTGCCTCCTTTAAATGGCTTTGTATTCTATACTCATTGTCCATTCATCTTTGTGCAGTCATACTAATTGGCCCTAAGATGCTTTTCAGTTGGCTTTAGTATTTCTAGGCCCTGTAACTAATACATTTTGTTAAGAAATCAATAACAGTATTGCATATGTGCTCCCCTCTTTATTGCATTAGCTATAGATGATAGCAAATTATGTAAAAAGAATCATTATATTCATTATATTCCAGAATTTCTGATGGAAAGATTCAGTATTTTTAAAGTAATGGCACAATATTTTTAAATCATGAATGGTTGGATACAATTAATATAAAAATCTTGACCATAACATCATAGTCCACCAAATGTATCATACAAAATATTGATGGTGGAATTGATAGTTTTCCTGTTGAAATTTATATTTAAAAGGAATGCTTTTACTAGCAGTTTTTTGCTTCATTCTTTCTTGATATTCAGTTTGTTGAACATTACAATTTTAGCAATTTATCATTATGCAAAATCCCTGAAGAAAGTATGAATGGACTTTAAATGACCCTATTTGTGTGATATTTTGAACCTTTTTGGTAATATAATCTGTGTCTCTAATAACACAATTTTAAAGACTATAGAAAACAAGCATCAAAACATTGGTGAGGACATCTTTAAAGATGAAGCTAACAATTATTAGCTAATGATCTAGTAGTTGCCTATTTAGACAGCTTACCCTGTTTGTACTGTGAAAATACTAAATAGAACATCAGCCAAACTCACAAAATAATTGTGATATAACTGGATTATTCTTCAGTTAAATTACCTCTGGAGCTTCCTATCTCTTAGATTTATCAGAACAGATAGCCTTTCCTCAGAAGCCAATACAATAACGTATATTCAAAAATTGGTTTAAGTTTATACTTATTGAAAAACCAAACAGGCATATTAGTGCATGCATGTAACCTCACAACTTTGGAAGTATAGGCAGGAAGTAATCCAGAGTCAGCTTTTTAGCAAATTCAAGGCCAGTCTGGGATACATGATTCACTGGCTTGAAAAATAAAATCATTGAAGAAACTTAAATCTAGGGAAATTATTTGCTTTTAGTAACAATCAATTAACTATAGAACTTTGAATGAGAAAAGGTGTTACAAATCATTTTCTGACCTAATTAGGATGCCTCACAGATATGCAAATATATTTTTAGACAAATTCCCTAGTGTCTTGACCCACTAAAATAGAAAGGACTCTAAAGGAGAGGAGACTGTCCTAAAAATACTATTCTCTCAGAAGTGCTTGATTACAAAGGCTCTGGTGGTGCCGGAGAGCTACATGTGCTGAAAAGTGTCCAGTTGCTTCAGATATCATCTGAGAAAGCAAGGGAATTACCTCAGATGCTGTCTGGACTTGCAACAGGCCCAGTTTATTACAAATAGATCTTCTTGAGAAAACCATATTTCTTGCATTTTCTTTCATTCTTTCTTATCTGTTTTCTGATTCAACTGCTCATGCAAGTACCCAGGGAACGCATTAAAATTGCGTTTCGCCTCTGGATTCCCATTTTAGTTTTGAGGATTGTTGTTGCTGAGACATGGCCTCAAGCACTTGGCCTGAGTACGCTGGCTTTGGCAAGTATAGTTTCTGACCCTCCCTCTCTCTCCCCCCCCCCATAACTTGTTAATTTTCAGAAACAGCAGAACACATTTCTTGTAATTCTCAGAGAAATACCATCAATGTCATAATATCTCTGCTCTAAGCAGATTTTGTCCCATTTATGAATCTGGAAGTTTACAAGTGCTTAGTTTTCTTTTAATATTTCCTTATTCTGCAACAAATACTTCTGAACTCTATATTGAGCCTATTTTAGCATGCGAATTGAATGAGAAAATCTGCATTATATTGAAAAGGGGACAAATGTAATAAAATAAACCATGAACAATAGTAAAGGCTGCCCCTTAAAATATTTAAGCTCAAGCTGTTTGAGGTTTATTTTTCTTTTTTTCATGAATTTGCTGATGAGCAAGCGTTACGTATATGATTTATTGCTTGGTCACACATACATTATGAAAATATTGCTTAATTTCTGAAATAAATCTGAAATTCAGGATTGTATTATTTTTCCCATTATAATACACAATATTTTTTGTGGCATTTCAGGAAACTTCTCTGTATTAGAAATACATCTCTCTTTTTTCCTCAAATGATTATCCTAAATGAAAAGAGAGAGAGAATATTAAAATTGATGGTTTTGAGCCATAAAGGAAACTGACTCTTCTAAAATGTTTATCTCCTGCCACTGACTTTAGACACAAAGGCTAACTTTCCCCCTACACTTTGAATATCTGCTCTTCAATTAAGTAATAGTTGTTTCGATTAACATAATAGCGATAAAATGCTGTATACAAAAAAGTCTTTATGAAGCGTAATCCTACTCACTGGAAATCATTACACCACAGAATGTCGTCATTTTACCTGATTGCTTGGGACTTGGCGTGATGCTCTCCTTCAATGCTGAAGCTGCCTCTGAGGAAGCAAATGAACAACTTCTCAAGAAGATCCTTGATGTGTGGAAAGACGTACCGTCTTCCGTGGGTATGTACAAAATTTCTTTTGCTCTCAAATGATCTAGACAAGCTTTAACAGGATTAAAAAAATGTCATAAATAAGTTTTCCTGAATTGTTTCTTTTTCTTAAAGCACTGAAGGGTATACAATAAAAAAAATACTTCTATTTTGTCTGGTCACTTTATAGTGTTGTATGTGTGTAAAGTCATTTATACCTGTAAGTTGCCACCCAGATGGCAATATGGGTATAACCCCACTTTTTCAGACTACAACCCTAAACAATGCAGTACTGCTGGTCTGGGAAACTAAAATAACTAATTTGAGATTTTTTTTTATCTTCCTAAGGTTTGGTAACTAGGTGACAGAAAATATGCAAATAGTTAAAGTATTAGAAATGGTAAAGGGTAGAATGATAAGATAAATGACCAACGCCTCTCTCTTTCTCTCTCCCTCTCTTTCTCTCTCTCCCTCCCTCTCTCTCTATATCTGTCTCTGTCTCTCCCTCACTCCCTTCCTCCCTCCCCCCTCTTTCCTCCTCTGTGTGTGTCTGTCTCTGTGTGTGTTTCTCTGTCTCTGTGTCTCTGTCTCTCCCTCACTCCGTTCCTCCATCCCATCCTCTCTCCTGTGTGTGTGTGACTGTCTGTCTGTCTGTCTGTCTGTCTGTCTGTCTCTGTCTCTTTTTGTGCTTCTCTGTCTCTCTCTCTCTGTCACTCTGTCTCCCCATGTCTGTGTGTGTGTGTGTGTGTGTGTGTGTGTGTGTGTGTGTGTTTGCAGAGACAGAGTGGGTTATAGAAAAGAGAGAGACAACAAAGGAAAGAAAGGTTGTTTGTCCAAACAGAGGACAGAATCCTCTGAAATGTCTATGGGTAAAAGTGACATCCACAGTGTTTTAGTGACCAATTTGAACAAACTCCTTTTCGAACAATTTTTTTTATGGCATGATGGGGTTTTTGTGGGTTTTTATTTTGCAATGCATCTTCAGAATGTTTAAATTATTTTTATACATGGTTGATGTTGAGGATTGTCCTGAAAATCTGCTCTAATTTCTTCCAACAGGTAAATATTCACAGAGGGTTTTAAGCCATTATAAGTGACAGACACTTAGTGCTTATAGTACAAATTGATGAATTTAGGGCAAAAGGAAGTAAGCACAAGGAGTTGTGTTATATCTTGTATAGTGAAAAGTCACGGAACGATATGTGAGGTAGGACCTAGTCAGGCAGCCCAGTGAAAGAAAGCCTGCTAGGATGTGCAAGGACTGGCTTCCATCCCCAGAACCTCAAAAAGTACATGAGTCAGAAATGAAAATCAGGTAGCTAAGTTCAAAGGGGAAAGTAAGCAGAACATTAATATTCAAGCCACTCAATGATCATAGATGTAAAAGGGATTTTAAAAGTTGTCTACAACATTTCTTGTCCTTAGGCAAGAAGAGTTCTAACCAAGATCAAAAAGCTTGGTAAAATTTGAAAGACGTGTATACATAAAATAACATATAGCACAAACACATGTGTTTTGTTTAGCATATATTAAGAATATATTACAATATAGCACTGATATCAAGGAAATAATTCAATCTGTTTTATACTTCAACACAACTTGCTGTTTACAAATAGCATAAAACCAGATTTCCCTAGGCTAAAATTTACATTTCTTTAAACCATAATGTTTTCAATAACAAGGACAAAATCCTTTATTCCCAAATAAATGTATCAGAGTTTAAGAATGGTAGATAATTCATAATTCTAGAGCCCCATTTCAGAAAGCACACTTTCAGTTCAGCAAGTAGGGGCAGATCTGTAAAGATATACACGGGTTCTGGACTCAGTAGACAGGCTGTTAAATTTGAAAGGTTTACTCTAAGCGGCTGTTGAGAAGAATAGTATTTTAATAAAATAGTCACAGGAGTATAAGAGAAAATTGAATTCATACATGTTAGGCCAGTTACTAGTTTTGGTAAGTCAGGTCACTGGTTCTCCGAACTTCCTGTGCCCACTTTAATTCTGGCCTGAAATTACACTATTAAAATTATTTAAGAACAGCTATTTTTTTCTTAGTCAAAATGTGACAGAAATTTAATTACAATTTTTATATCAAATTCATACAGGTAAATAGTCTGACTTATAATAAAAAAACCAGGATAATAAATGCTTTGTAATTTTATTTGAGGTCAGATACATTGCTTACATTATGTATTTGCTAGTTACTTTTACAAGATTGTATGTAGTCTTTTATGAATTATTTTTTTTAAATTTATTGCACACATACAGCATGTAAATTTTGGTTTAAGCAAGAGTCCCTGAGATCATTTGATAAAAATGAGAGATTTTTTTAAAAGAAGACAACTATACTAATGCTGATTTTCCTTCTTTTAAAATAAAGGAAAACAGAAAGTCAGATTAATTAACAAATTCTGGTTTTAAACAAAGTGCCATGTTTTGTATTTTAACTTCAGTTAAAATTTGTGTCATTTTAAATGCTATAATTTACTTTATATATGGAAATTTTCTTCCTTGCAAATTTCATAAAGAATAAAAATTGAAAGTTAAACATTTAATATTGCTCCTTATGCTATAAAATATTTCACAGAATCACTGGAGTATATGGACTTTTGATAATTAAGGTTATGCTTTCATAAATGTTATTGCCATGGTGGGTTATAAAACATGTATAAAAAGTTTAAAATGTAATACAATTTTCCCCAGAAGGAAAAACCCTTAAGTATACAAAATTACTCTCAGTTCTGCTTATAGCAGAAAAAAATTGTTCAATTAAATTAGGTTTACTAAAGTCATTATTTGAATAAGATATTTTTTTAACAGATTTAGTTTTTTCAGGACTGAGAACTGAACTGAAATCCTTGCACACTACCACTTAGCTAAATCCCTACTCCCTGTTTTAATTTGTTGAAAAATCAGTTTTCTATGTTATGCTACAACACAGCTCTTTATTAGGAACCTTCCCTTTGTATCTGGTGTGATACTGTATCTCACCTACAACATAAAAAAAAAAAGTAAAGCCATGGATTGATCTGAGCAACTAGAAACAGAGTCATTACCTCTTGGGTTTGTCTGTGGTCTGATAGTGCATGAATACAAACATTAAGAAAGCTCTAGCAAGTCAATATTCATCACTGCAGTACCTATAGAATACCAATCCTAAGCAACAAAATGTCGAAAATGGCAGACTTCAAAAATAAGATGAAGAATAAATGGGTTTAGCTTAACCTAGAACTATGAGTTCCTTAATGGTTAACTTTAGTTATGTTTTCATATCACTGTAATAAAAAATAAATGTTCTTTTGCCATTTCCAATTGTATTGTAGCTTTTGAGTGTACAAAGAGAATCACTGGATGGGACCAAAAGGCTATTGAAGCGCGCTCTCTACAGTCAACTATTCTCGAGAATGAGCTGAAGCGCCGCTCAATCAAGAAACTGAGATTTCTGTGTGCCCGTGGTGACAAGGTATAGTTTACACCTTTCAGTAAAGTAAAAACAAACTAATCCTTGAAATTAATTAGACTTTATACCTTTTTCTTTTGCATATTTAGGATTTTTTTTAAATTGGCACACTATTAATGAAACGTTCTTCTTTTTCGTAGTAGAAACATATTTGGTAAATAATGTAATTTTGTTTCAACAAAACTCATTTTCAAAGTACAAATCTCTAGTTATATACTAATTAAACTTGGATATTTTCTTTGGCATGAACTCTTTCATTACTTTTGATCCATGGTCGGTTTCATTTTCATGCCAAGAAATTTAAGCAAAAAGTGAGAGCAAATCTACCTTCTTAGAATGATTTAAGTATTTTGACATGGATTACCATAATTTAATCACACAGATGAATGACATTCTTTGTGACATTTCTATGCAGGTCCTCCATGTGCACTACTCAGGTCTACACTCCTTTTATCTCCCCCACTCCGAATACTGTTCCTAATCGCTAGGTTGATTTTTGTTTAGCTTTGATATATTAAATAAAAACCACTAACATTTCGTTTTTAGCTTATTTTTCACTTAAGTTCTCTAGTTTTTGCTGAAAATTAATGATTTCATTATTTTTATCCATTCATTTATAGATTGGTCCCTAGTTTGACTCAAACATTATTGTGGATACTGCTCCTATAATCATGGGCATATAAATATCTCTAGTAGGCTGGTACCCAATTTTGGTAGACAGATGCTAAGATATGTGAGAACCAGATCACATGACAAGTTTATTAGTTTTTTTTTCTGTTTGTTTGTTTGTTTGTTTGAGGAACATTCATTCATAGTATTTTCCAAAATGGCTAGAATAATTTCCACTCCCACCAACAGTGTGTGAAAAGTCCTCTCTAGCCATCTTGTCAGTGTTTATTTGCTTGTTAAAAATCTTCCATTTCTAGCTTTCAGTATATTCCAAGACTAAAAGAAAAAGTAATTACATTTCTTGACTATACAGTTATATGTTAGGTTATATGCTTGCTATTTTAGAACCTTTATCTCAGTTTATCCTCACAAGCAGGTATGATGATAACAATTTTACCAGGAAGAAAACTAAAATGGAGACTCGGAAATTTTCTGTGAAATTTGATCAGTGTTAACTATTAAAATAGGTAGATGGGAAAGTTCATAACCTAAGTTAATTATTTTAAGAAACAATACTGTGAAAAAATAACCTTGAATATAATTAAGAATTATTACCAAGGATTGCACAGAATTAAAATTGATATCAGGGAAAACAGCCAAGTTGTAGCATGTTGACAAAATGTCTGCAATTTCGGGGATTTCATGTGAAGAAGCAGGGTTTGAGGTCAGGAAGCTTCGGATTGCAGTTTTGGTTCTGTCACCTAACAAGATGTAAGAACCAGAAATGTTTAACTGATCTTTTTTTCTTTTGTCAGGGGTCAGGAGAGTGCTGGGCATGGAACCCAGGGTCTTACACATGCTAGGCAAATATATCACTGAGTCACATCACCAACCCTTATTTGATCTTTTTAAAATTTAATCCCTTTATCACTGAAATGGAACTATCAATAACTGTTCTGGGAACAAAGGTAGAATTGTAATGTATCATGTGCACATGTAGCATCTTCCAGGGTATTTGGCACAGAAAAGGTGTGAAGGGTAGCTGCTGGATCTTACCCTCATCATCATTAGGTCTAATGCCCTGCTTACATATAAGCATCGATGACTTTAAAACCTTTGCCTTCCTTTTGTGATTTATGCCTGGGTTCTATTCTAATTTTCTTTATTATGGAAGAACCCATGTTTAAACAACGTGTTCTCCCTCAACACACTGCATTTAACTCATTGTACCAAGAGAAGGAGAAAATGTAACTCAACTACAATCTCAAAAGAATAAAAACAAAATGATTTTAATTCAATAATACAAGGAAACAAATTATTTTTTTCTATCATTTGCCACCTGTGCTTATGTTTAACAAGTTACTGAAATGTTCTAATTTTTTATGACTCTCTATTTCTGTAAAATGAACTGACACTATAAAATGTAGAAATTTTAATTATAGGATTCCTCCCTTCCATTTTTCCCTCCAGCCCCTCCCTGTTTACCTCTCCCCAGTCTTCCAATTCATAGTCCTCTTATTATAATAATGAGTTCACTCATCACTATTGCATAAATATATCCATCTGTATATGTGTATATTCCTAAATATAACCTGTTCAGCCTACAGAATGTTGCTTATATGTATATATCCAGGGCTGACCTTTTGGCACTGAACAACTAATTGCTGTGCTGTTAGCTGGAGAACACTACCTCTCTCACTTCCTGCTCCTAGCTTTTGTCAGTTGCCTGTAGATCATTGTGTAGAGTTGAGGTCTCATGGGCTTTTCTCCATCCAGTTCGATGTGTTCATTGTTGCCATCCTTGCTCGGCTAAAGGAAAGTGTTATAACCAAAAGTAATATGAAGCTTCCAGAGAGAAATATGATCCATAAATATATGGCAGTTGGTAGCTGCAAAGGGAAGGAGAATCATTAGTCTTTGGTAAGATGCAAGAGAGTGGCCACTGGTATCTTCCCATGATCCAATGGATGGCCTCACACCTGTGCACGTATGGTCAGCACTGAATGGACCCAGAAAATTATCAATTTTAAAAAGAAGGCAGGAATCTGGGAAGAAACATGTTGATGGGGTCGATAGTTAATTGAAAGGGAAGTGACCGAGTGATCAAAATTTATTGTTTAGATGTGTGAAAGGCTCCAAGAACAAATTTTAAAAGTGAAAACAAAGCCAAAATAATGAAATACATAAATTACAATTATGTAGACGATGGTGAAAAGGTTACTTTGAAATATGTAATTTAAATCCCAAGCTAATCAAATGTATGTCCCTTAAAATGAAGAAAATTTGCTCCAGACAAGATGGCTTAATATTTTGATTCCATCAAATTATAGTTATACACTGGTGCTTAACACTTGTATTTATTAAGTATCTAGTTTAAATGTGTTAGAAACTCACTGCTTATGCTTTTTTTTCTTGTGTTTTTTTTAAAGATGTTCTTTGCTTCTACACTGAGCAATCGGCGCAGCCGGGTTTACTTTATGAGCCTGGGAAAACTTGAAGAGCTCCAAAGAAGCTATGCTGTTTAAAAGGGGTCCAGTGATAGACTACATTTACACCCATCACATATATGCCATTGCATCCTAACATTGGAGTTTTATCATTAGGGGAAAACTTTCATCAGAGGCTTTTAATGTAGCACAGAGTAGTTTGGATAAGAAATGCAGCTTCATAAAGAAAACTATAGCAAGCTCTATGTACTCCAGTGGTGTACAATCTGTTTTGCACAAACTTCGTAACCTTTGTTACTGTGAATTTAAACAGTTCTCTTAGGACAGTTTGGACAGTATCTGTATTCTGATTTACAGCATGGAGTAAAGAAACCTGTTATAAATTACATCACCAACAACTTTCAAAGGAATTGGCCCTAATTAAGCTTTTCCAAACCAAAACATATATACATGATTTTTTCCAAGCGAAGGTGAGATTAAAAGACAAAACATAATGAATTTTACAACCCAGACAAAGGTTGAACAATCTGTATGCACAAGGAAAATTACATTGATCAAGGGGAACATGCTATCCAATTCGTTATCACAATAACTCCACAGTTGAAGACCAATTGTGATTTTTTCCAGCCCCTTGTTAAATTTGATTTCTCTATATAAAGAAAAAGAGAAGAAAGCATCAGATGCTTGCTTCTGCCCTCCTAAAAGCCCCAAATATGTGTAATAGCTGTTTTTACAAACTACCAATTGATATATTTACTATCTTGAATACAGGACTGAACTCCAATGCACATGTACTGTAGAAAAGGGTTTTTTTTTAATTCATCAAAGTAGGCGTCAAATTTTGTCCCCCAAATTGGCTGAGTTTTGAATTTTATTATATAGCAACACTGTGACCATCAGACAGCATTAAATATTTTTAAATATTTAAATATATTTTAAATACATTAAACTATATAAAATGCCCTTAGTGTTATTAAGCAAAGTAATGCAACAAAAGGAAAAGAATGTTGATGGATAATAATTATATTTTCACATTTTTATTACTATCAATTCAGAAATGAAGATAATCGAGGTGATAATCCAAATTTAGAGTCATTTGTTCTAGATATGAAAATTATAGAATTTTAGAAAAATATAACATCCATTGTATTATCAAAGTTTGCAAAATTAAAGTAGTGAAATTCATGCCAGTCCATATCCAAATATTTGATAGACGCCAAAAATAGGTGACATTTGCTCACCTATGGTAACTGCTACCTGATTTTTTTTAAAAGCATGATTTATACCTATCCATCCTCAAAGACATGGTTAGTTCTGGAGTAATAGAAAAAGCTACAGAACCTACCACAAAGTATACCTCAGTAAGTCCTCTAGCCCTGCTTCTCAAATCTGAAGACTGTGCTAGCAGGATAATAATTTTTAAACTACCTGATTAACCAAAACAAAAAGCAGCTGACTGTGTGTGATTTCCTGATAGTGTATCATTTCCTGGCACCTTTGTGCCAGAAATGAAGATTTGGATTTTCCTAATGACTTCTATCAAGTAGTAACTCAGTGTTCAGATTGTAGGAGAACCTGAATCCAGACGTTCAAATGTGATTCGCCTTTCTGTTACTGTGACACACTAATGTGATCCTAAAACTGGCTTATCCTTGAGTGTTTACAATTCAAATTCCTTTTTTAAGTTCAGTAGTTATTTTAAATAAGCAAACTTTAATATCAAATTAATACCTTAGAAGTAGTTTTCTTTTTTAAAAAAAAAAAAGAGAAAAAAGAAAATTGTACACCAAAAGGCCATGAAGAACTTTGTGCAAGAACCTCATCACCGAGGAAATGGAGCTTGCTATGTTGGAGGTTCAGAACTTTTTCTCATTTAAGTAGTACATAGGAACAAGAACTTTTTCTTCATAATATTAACTCAAAAAATAAGCTTATAAGTTTTATCTTAAAAATCATACATTTAAGACAGTAAGTCACTAAGCCAAAAAACTATTTTAGCAACTCCCATTGTTCTCTGTGGCATTTATTCCAGCAAGCACGGGAAATAGCAAAGAGAATCTACAATGTTGTCCCAAAGCAATTACACAGGAAGGCTTATCAATACAGTGCTGGGCTTTGATGGCTAAGTGTTAGTGAAGAAACGGAACCTGGCACCTAGCAAGAAGAAAGGAGATTCGAGCATTGGGTGCACAAGTACGAAAGATTGAGATATTTGAAGTAGTTCATTAGTCATAAAGGTCACTAATGAATAGTTTCAACTTAAGTGTAAATCTGTGTGGGAGTTTTATAGCCTTTGACAGGTGACAAAAACAAAGTGGGACAATGTCCTTTCCTTCTCATTATACTTTGTAATAGAAGAAATGACATATGCCCTATGCCTTGTAACAGGACCTGGAAGGCCCAACACATGGCAGAAGTATGGAGAGGCAGCCCAGAAAGCCACTTTTAATGAGAATCATGGTTTGAAGTGTGACCATTTTGGCAGGTTGTGAACAGCACTGGAGAGAGTACGGTTTGATTTCATGGCAGTTTAGTTTTATTACCAAAGCACTGGAAACAAAACGTATCATGTGAGATGTTTGAAAACTAGAATAGGGCTGGTAACTAAATTTCTGAATGAATGAATAAATTCAAACCAAGTAAGATCCTAAGAGCAAAAAAAAAAAAAAAAAAAATCAAGCAAAGCTGCATCAGCCTTTCACTCACATCCCTTCACACAAAAGATTAGGTACTTTGAGTGCTAGAGAGTTAGCTAGGTAACTAAAGCCCATGCCTTATAGCTGTAAATTCCATCCTCAGAAATCATATTCAAATTCCAATCGATGATGGATACTTTCAATCCCTGTGCTACGAGGATAGACAAGTAGATCTCTGGAGCTTGCTGGCCACTGAAAAATCCTGTCTCCAAACAGGTGGATAGATGGCACTTTTGAGGATGACACTGGCTGTTATCTTCTGGTTGCCCTTTCTCCCTCACCCCCTCCCTTCCTCCACTTCTCCCTCCCTCCCTCTTCTCTCCCTCTCCCCAACCTCTCTCACACATCCAACTACATGCCCACAAAACACAAGTATACACATGCACAAATACACGCGAAACGCAATAAAATACAGAATAATGCCACACACTCTCAATGGGATCTTTTAAGTACTTTTTGGATTGTTCCAAGACGTGTTCCAGTTTGCATCACTTGTACTCAACTTGTATTGAGCTACTCTTTGAGATGAATTGTTTGACCAGAAACTCTGTAATGAATCATCGTTTGGCTTCTTAAATAAAAATTTGCAGTTATTGATTGTTGTTGTTATTGGAATACACAAGCATGATGCCTTGAAATTAGGGCTCATTTAATTAGGTAAGAATGTACTGATTAGGGGAAGTTAGAGGGTCTTTGTGTTAAGAATTCTGGCCAAGGAAAGGTGTGTTTATCTAATAAGAACTCTTTCTGTAGGCAGAGGAATATGTCAGTAAACTGCTTATAATTCAAGCATCAGATCACTGCGAAAATGTATTAATAAACCCAGCACTGGGGCAAGGGGCGACAAATGGATCCCTGGAGCTTGATGGCTAGACAGTATAGCCAAATCAGAGATTCTGATTCAGTAAGATTAAAAAAGTAAGGTGGTAAGCACCTGATAGCATTTCTTCTAGATACTTGGAACATGCAGGCATAGACTCACATAGGACAGAGAGAGACACATTTTGAGATACTATGATAGACATGTGGGCATAGAGTTATTTAGTATGGGGAAACTCAAGCAAGTTTCAATACTTCCTTATCTATCATTGCCAACCCAGTATCTTCATGTCTGCTGGAGAAAAATAGGAACCTTATCCAAAGAGAAGAGATCATATTTAGAGTTTATTAGTGATCAAAAAGGGATTTTGTAAAAGCTGATAGTAGCAAACAGAAAAGAGTATAAATGTAGCATTTTCATGTGCCATATATATGCATATTCATTCATAAATGTATCAACCAGATTCAAATAGTAGTTCCAGAGGAAATAAAATGAGTCTATATGGATTTATATGTTTAGAAGCTAGTCAGTAGTATAGGTAAGTACAAAGCCATATTTGGACTTGTTTTATGGCTTTACTGCCTCATATGCTAAAATGCCTCATTTGGTACTTATCATGGAAAAGATATGCAATGAATGCATGAAATAAAGGAAAATTAGGGACTTCAGCAGAGAGATTATCCTGCATGCTTTTATTATTTTAAACCATTTGAAATTCAGACTTGCTTGTTATTTCATCAAAGTATCATCTGTCCTTGTGATTACATGGCCATGGCATGTTTAGGTTAATTTAAAAAATCCTCACAAACCTGAAACTTAAAGATAGGTCAGCATAATAATATTATTATTATTTACCTCGGAAAGAAGCACAAAGAGGCAATCTTTACATAATTCAAAGCTCATAAGTAATAACAGTTTTCTTGTTCACATCAAGCATCAGAAAAATAAGACATTTACTTGCTGGTTTTATATAAACATTTGTTTTAGATGTGGTTCTTTTATACAAATACTGTAGCATCCTGAGATATGTGTGTTCCCAGAAGTTTTAAATATATTTTGAATATATTTTCATCCACAAATGTTATGTTACTATAAACAAATATATTCCATGCATTTATTTAAGGCACCTTTCCAGTAGGTAAATTATTTAACTTGTATACAGTAAGGAAGCCTTTAAAACAAGCACACCGTATCAGAAAGACGGGTCTTTTGAATTGCAATAGAAATAAATATAATGGAGTTTAAACTGACTGAATCAAGTTATTTCCATGGCTGAAATCAAAATTATATTACAAGCTGGAAAAATATGAACCATGTTTGATATTGCTGTGCCGTCTATTGTCTACACGCATTCAAGTAGATACTCAGTTCCTTGAAGTGGCTTTCTGTTTTCTGGATATGAATATCATAGGAATCATTGGGCTGTGGGCCCAAATTCCTGGAGTCATTTCCAATTGGCCCTACTACCCTCCTGGGTAGTGTGAATGTATGTATTCCTGCTGCTTTGCAAATTGTAGTTCCTCTTACCCTTTCCTACTCCTGAAGAATCTATCTCCAGTAAG